CTCTTTCCAGGCCATGCAGAGGTCCGAGCAGGGGCCCAGCGCCCACCCCACCCACGTGTGTACTTACTGCCAAAGGCGGAGCCTGGAGCGGCACCTACGGGGAGACAAGCTGGTCACAGAGCTGGCTGCCTGGGGAGGAGGTGTCTGTCTGTCTCCTTGGGCAGGGCAGGGGGATACCTGGAGGTCCCTCCCTGTGCCAGAGGCAGGCACCTTGGAGGTTAGGAGCGCCTGCCTTGGCACACCGCTGCTACCAGGGATGAGGGGTGTCCCTCTCTTGTCCTGCACTGTCCCCTCCAGGCTCCCAGTGGGCCCTCATGTGTGACCGGCTCTGCATGGGAGAACCGCTATGAGCTCATGTTATGGGGGATGCTGAGTCTCAGAGGCGCACCCTCTGGGCATGCGGAAGTACCAGACACACTCCGGGAAGTGCCACGTGGGCCCTCTCAGTTCATCTTGGGCTTTCGGGCCCTCCAGTGCGTAGGGACTGTCGCAGGGTACTCCCAGCTGGGAAGCGGGGAAGGGCTGGGTAACGAAACCCAAGGTGGCGGCCTCCATGCGGGAGCGCTCTGTGCGGCCGGGTGCACCCTCTGTCCTCACCACACCCCTGCGCAGGGGTTTTCTTAGGGTCCTGATTCTGAGGGCATACCAGCCCGGAGCGGCAGAGGCGTGACCGGGACGGGGTCAGGTCTGGGCTGTCTCTGCACGGCGTAGCCTCCAGGCCGAGGGAGGCCTAAGGCCAGTTCTGACCAGGGCTTCGCAGTCTGAGGACAGGGTCATCTTAGACGAAGGAGGGGCCGGGCCGCGTTGCCGTGTTCCTGAGCCCAGGCGTGGTTGGCAGGGCAGCCTGGGGGGGCCTGGGAGGACCAGCCCCCCACACTCGCCCCTCCCTTCATCGCCACGTCTGGGTAGGCACCGGGCTGGACCCCAGGCATCCGGGAGGTACAGCCACAGGGAGCCCACAGGTGGACATGAGGTGCCAAGCAGGGCTCCAGGGCGGGGGTGGGCAGAGAGGCCAGGCAGCCTCTGGGCCTGCCTGGAGGGTAAGGGCCAGGAGTGTGGGGCATCTGGCCGGGCAGGCAGAGGGGGGAGGCGATCTCCCAGGGCCCTCGTACATGGTGAGGGGTGAGGGCTGGGGTCTTTGTCCTGAGGGCACCAAGAGAGAGCTCAGTGGTGGTGGGGCACGACAGCGGGGTTGAGGACAGCAGGTGGGGATGGAGGGAGGGTGGCCCCGGGCGTCGGCACCTCTTTCTGGGAGTCATGGGGAGGGGAGTGGGAGGGCCTGTTTGACCCATGTCTGCTCCCAAGTGTTCAATAAGAACCTCTTCTTCCTGGGGCTTGGGGCCTCCCAGACAATTTCTGGAGACCCATGGGGAAAAGGGGGCCCCAGGAGCCTCTCCCATACAGGGAAACTCTAGTCACCGCCCTCCTGCAGGGAGGAAGGGAGGAGGGATTTCAAAGACGGGAGGCGGCCTGCAGCCCGGCAGTGGGTGGGGACCTGCAGGTAGAAGTCCTGGTCCGTGGGTTCCCGGGTTGGGGGGACAGGAGACCTCACAGAATCCCCCAGGAGCAAGCAAGCAGAGGGAGACCCAGAAGTGATGAAGGGGGAGGGGAGGGGCTGACAGGCGGATGAAGGGGAGCCCAGGCTGCCGGTCAGTCAGGGAGTGATGGTGACTCAAAACAGGCTTCAAGAAAGACTGGGGTGCAGGGACGGGGACAGGGACGGGAGGTGGGCGAGGGGCAGCTGTCAGGGCCAGGAGCTCCGTGCCTTTGAAGCCCATGGGCGCTGCTGGGTGCCTGGCAGGTTGGCCCTTCAAAGGCCTGTCGGCCCTGCCCCGCACACGCATGCACGACAGCCTGTCACAGGCCGGCTGTGGCTTCCAGCTTTGATCAGCTAAAGTCACTTAAATCTTTCACCGTGGAGGGAGGGTGCCCAGAGAGGCGGGGTGGTTTTCGTGCAGCCTTTGGCGTCAGAGCCTTGGGTCCCAGAGCTGGCACGTGACTCGGTGTTACACCTAGCAGGGCCCTGGGGTTCCCCGTACCTCAGTTTGCCCATCTGGAGAGTGGGGTGTCCTTGTGAGGGCTCAGGGAGGCCCCGTGCATGCAGCATGCCATGGGGTCTTAGGCACGGACAGAGCTGTGACAAGGGTCAGACATCAGGCCAATTGCAGGGGTGGGCCGGGGAGAGCTCACCTAGGGCCAGCCTGGGCCCTTCTTTACTGGCTGCCCATGGCCTCCCTGGGAGTCATGATTTCAGGAGACACCCACAATGGTCCAGGGCCCCCCGATGAGTAGGGTGCCCCAAAGGGTGTGGGTGGACTCAGGCTTCCTGGCACGGCTGGGCGAGGAAAGGACAGAGCCCAGGCAGAGGGACCAGGTGAGGGCCTCAAAGATCCCTCTGTGGCGTGGTCAGGAACCCAGTTCTGGGGGCTGCTCTGAGGATGGGGGGCGGCGAGCATGTGGTAATGGTACCCCGGACGCTCCTTATCAGAGATGATTTGCCTGGAGTGGGGTCTCCAGCATGCTCCCCACCATCCCCAGGGACCTCCTGGCCAACCTTCAGAGGAAGGGGAAGGGCGGCAGGGAAGGTGCTGAGCATGCATCTCTGGTCCCCGTGAG